AATGGAAGATATTTCGTCATGATAATGTCTCGAGAGCCAATGGTGTACGAGGAGAACCATACTATATAAAAAAATCGTCCGTAGGTATACGCGAGTAAGAGGTTTGAGATTCCGTCCTTCTTTTTTGCATTCGAATAAAATATACTTATGTATAGGTATTTGCTAACGCCATTAATATTTTATTTGCATTAAGGACTTTTATTGGTGGAATGGTATGAATGTTTGAATAAGTATATTTTCTTTATATCCCAAAATATAAATAAAATATGTTTTCAAATGTTTCTTCCATATATCTGTTTGCTTTGCAGTTTAATTTTGTATTTCACTGGTTATTTTCTCAAAACGAACATGAAATTTCCTTTTTTTAATTATTAGTCATATTGTGGAAAAGGTGTAGTCATAGGTAGATAGGTATACCTAACAGCCTTAAACAGTCACTCTTTGTATTAGCTCGATTTGAGGAAATAGTTTGAGTTTTATTGACATTCACTTTGAGTTTATTAGTTGGTAAAACGCATTTCAGCCTGTTTTTCTATCTGCTCTAAAACTATTTTTAACTGTGAAAAATCCTTGTGTGGTACAACTAGAGTGGTGTCATCGGCATGTAAAATATATGTATATTTTAGATGACAGAAAGTAATAGATGTCATTAATAAAAATCAAAAGTAATATTGGTTCAATAATAGAACCCTGCGGTACACAGTGCTGAATTATCTCATACTTGGATGTACAATTATTACTGTCATAACGCACTGTGGTCTTTCCTGTATATAAGACTTAAGAAATGGTGTATCTTAATGTTCATGTTTTAGTTTTATTTAAAAATATTTTTTAATTATTATAAAAAATTTAGTATACATACATTTGAATCAGTTTAAATACTAGGTAAAAAAATGTTCAAGGCACGTTTAAATAGATCGAGTAACCACATAGGCACACACCTAAAAAAAATTTTTGAGTACAAAGTTGATTTCACTGATTAAACGTATAGTTTTACTTAAAAACGAAAAGCACCGAACCAACAAAAATAATTTCATAAAACCAAGCGGATCCATTTCCAGAAACGCACAGGAAATTATTTTTTCTTAATTTTTTACGTTCACCTGCCACCCCGCTATAGGCGTAAAATTGGAAATAATTGTCGAATTGTGGCCCCTTTTGTGTCGATTAAAATCTATTTTATTCGGAGCTATAGGTAGACAATGATGCGACGTTTAATATTGTGGCTATGTTTTGACCGTGCCCAGGTAAACTTCATTGTGGAAATTCTTGCAGGCGTTAATAGAAAAAGGTGCACCACACAAGTCGACTACTACCTGGTGTAAATTCAGAAAGTGAGAAAAGTTAAAGCCAGCTATTCAGAATGAATTTATTTCACTTCCCCTTCCATTATGGCCACTTGAATAGAACTTAAGACTGCTATAAATTATAATAATGAATTATTAGCTATGTAAAAAACCGTATGCATTCGAACTTATAGCGTACTTGAATAAATAATAACAGCATTTTGCATATGCGAAGCTGCGGTTTTTGAGGCAATTTATAATTATTATTGAGTGCTGGAGTTTAAAATAGTGCTTGTAGATTTTAAGTTGAATCGATAAATTATTCTGTCAAATTTGATTAATCTTCATTATTTATTTGGATTTGCCTCTTGGGTGGTTATAAAGAAAAGTTTTATATAATAACTAATCTTTATTTATGGACACTTTGCCACACCGACAAGCGACAGGCAAGTCGGTTTGTTGTGGGATTAAATGTGTTAAGAAGCACAATAAAATTATTTAAATAACAAGGATCATCATTTAATTTCCCCATTATACCAAAGACGTTACGAAAACAATCCTATCTAATTGCGCCTTTATCTATTCCAGCAAGACAAACTAATAAAAACATACGAGGCCTGTTCAAAAAATAAACGAACTATCTTTCGTCTTTTTTTTTGTTGTTATATATTTGAGCCAGTAAGTATAGATTTTGAGAAAAAGGAGATTTATGAAAACCTACCTACTTTATATACCTACAGTAAAGAAGGATGCCGCGAAGATGCGTCATTTTAAACAAAAATTATTTTAAACGTTCTTTTGCCCTTGGAAGCAATTTGGTATGATTAACTTATTATATTTTTGCTATATTTGCAGTTTATACAAACATTTTATATACATTTTAGCTTTCCAAAATAAAAAAAATAGGAACAATACTGTTTCAGCTATTCTTAGCGACCTTATTTGCTTTATATAAGAAATAAGTCTAAGTATGTTCAACTTCAGCTACTCTAGAAACCTGTCTGTAATAATTTTCATTGAAATATCTAAAATAAATAGTTACTACAGAAATGTGAATAAAATATTTAATATACCTACCTATAGGTAGATGAATCAATGTATTTATTTAATTTTGTTTTTTACAATGTTTTGAAAGTATTTGTTTTACTGTTTGTTTGTTTATACAGGGTGAGTCAGTTTTTTGTAGACAAACTTTAACAGGAGATAGAACACATGTTTTTAAAAAGAAAAGTTCCTATAAACATATGTCGTAGAAGGCTTCATTTCTGAGATACAGGGTGTTGAATATAATTTTTTTTTCTCGAATTTNATATCTAAAATAAATAGTTACTACAGAAATGTGAATAAAATATTTAATATACCTACCTATAGGTAGATGAATCAATGTATTTATTTAATTTTGTTTTTTACAATGTTTTGAAAGTATTTGTTTTACTGTTTGTTTGTTTATATATTTATTTAGGACCATTTTTTTATATATTCTAATTTCTCCTTCCGATCATGGCATAATAGTCGAAACTACTAGGAATGGAAATAAAACATTTTTGTACTGAATTAAAAGAGACTTAATTTACCCCCTTACTCTTATCGCTATTCAACATTTTAATGGTTCGTAAGACAAAGATATTAACTTTTTCATATCAAGTTCGATTTCAATGCTGTACTCATGTACGATTCTCATTCATACTTATTTATAAAAGCAATACGGTTTTCAGCTTATTTAATGTTCTCACAATGTATTATTCTAACAACTCAAGTTTCTTTTTTTCATTATTTCTAACAAAGTTTCAAATAAGAAATAAAATAAAATATAACTATCGAAATAAATGCCAATATATTTCACTAATTAAGGCAGCATAAAAAAATATGTACATGAATTTATAAATCAAAAATTTAATATTTAATTTCTTTCGAAAAATTTGTTACTAGTAAATAAATTACTCCCGCACAAAAGACGTTCGTATAAACATTTTTTGATTTATAATAAATTATGGATTATCTATATAGAACAATAATAACAAAAATGTTACTAATTGCTGTTTAATGTTTTTTACATCAAATTAATTTCGTCAGTAACTACACAGAGTGATTGATGAATTGTTTCTATAATTTGTTATTTGTTACTTCATAAATTCTATATTGTATATAAAAAGTTACAAATATTTTTTAAATTAAACTTGATGGGTTTGTTGCACTGCGGTTAAAGAATTAAAACTATCAATTATCTAGGTAATTAATAATAAATATTTTTAGAACTTCACAGATGTGATGAAGTATGGAAGTTGTAAGTGATTCATGAATTTGTAAAAAGTACAACATTTATCTGCATTTTAAAATTGTAACTAAATTTTAAATTACAGCGAATTAAATATAGCATTTAAATACAGAAATAGATTCCAAAACATATTTCAGAACTAATTGAGGCGGTACCAAAAGAATATTAACTTGAATTTGTTCGTCAACAATCTAATATTTTACTAGTTGCAAAGGAAAACATACTTAACTTAATAAACTGCTCCCACGAAAAGACGTTCGTGTGTACCTATACGAGTACATATACTTATACATATTTATTTTAAATAAATTGTGAATTATTTAAAAATTTAACAACAATGTTTTTTTCGTCGAATTAATTTCGTTAATAACTATGCAGAACGATAAATTATTTCTTTAGTTTGTTATTTGTTACTTCATAAATTTTATAAGTATCGAAAAAAGATAGATAATTTTTTAAATTAAACTTCATGGGTTTGTTGCTCTTTGCTATTAATGAAATAAAACTATTGATTTTTAAGATAAATTATTAAGTAATATACATATATTTATGGAATTTTACATATTTTTTATGTAACACCAGAGTTGTAAGAATTTCATAAATTGTCGACTTGTACTACAATGTTACAAAAAAGTTTTTGAAGTCCATTCTGAAAATTTAAAATTGTGTAAGTCCAAATATGTAAAACAATTTTGTCTTGAAATATTCCACAGAAAAGCACATTTATTTAGTAATTCATTTTTGTATATAGGTTTCATCAATAAACTTTGCAGCTGCTTAAATTAAATGTGTGGGTAAAGTTAACTTGGAAAAAAGTTTTTAGATAAATTAATGTGATAACTAAGAACTATTGTGTATATATAAAAGGCAGAGTAGTACTTACCTACATTATTCTTACTCTCAGTGATAGTAGTCTTGTATTGACGAATTTTATGCAGTCGAGATAGCAACCAAAAGTTAATTTAACACTATTTCAGTATATGATTTGTATTTCTTGCTTTTTCCCAATATTGTCGAATTTTAAAATATGATAACGTTAATTCAGACAAATATTAAATCAATTCTTATGACGAACAAACTTTAGATAATTTGAAGTTAATTAAATTTTTTCATAAATTGTTTTAAGTAGTCTGACATGTAACAAGTTATTTAGTTAGATGATAAATGATGTTCGAGATGTCAGTTAATTAATATAATAGGTATGTAAAATTTTATCCTCAAAAAGTTTTATAAGTCTGATAATAGTAAAATTATTTTTAACTTTTTAAAAATCATGTGAAATCACAAAGTTTGATATATTTTTGGGACTCAGATTCGAATGGATGTTATTGCAATATCTTTGGATATTCGTTGATGCAGAAAACAAACGAATATCTGTATAAAAAGTTCGTTTAATTATCATAAATTAGGAATATTTTACATATTTAACAGTCTTAAATATGAAAAGGAATAAAATATTTATATACACAGTACTTAAATTAATGACTAATAAGCGTTCAGTATTAATTACTATCCGTACGATACAAATAAATATTCTTTTCATAATATTTACAAAATATACACAATAATTTAATTATTACACAGTAATTAAAAACTAGTGACATTCGAAAATGCTATATATATCAAGTATGCGATATTATAAGTAAAAACAGCCTTTATTTTTCATTTAATATCATCTCACATTAAGTTAAACGAAGTAAGTCCTAGACTGGGGTTGCGCGTCCGGGATGGTCGAGTACACGTGGTGGGGCACCTCCGCCCTGCAAGGCGGAAACTGGGTGTACTGAGGAGGCCTCCCGTCGATCGAAACGTAGCTGTGGTTCATCTGTTCGGACCCGTAGTGCTGGCTGCTGGCGCTGGAGCCGGCCTCGTCTTCGGTGCTCCTGGCCGACTCCCCCGATACGTACGTGCTCTGCGTGGGGGTGGGGGTCAGGGTGGCGGTGTGCACCCCCGGCATCGCCTGGTACTTGTACCAAGAATCGTGGGTCGTCGGCGCCGCCGTATATCTGGCGCTGGTCTTGCACCGGATCTCCGCCTGCTTCTTGCCCCGTCTCGTTGTCTGGTTATTTATGACATCCGGCATGGCGTAGCGCAGCTTCTCCCAGAAGCGGCGCTCCCCCCATCTGGTCACGGTGCAGGCACGCAGAAGTGCCCTCAGTTCGGGGTCCATCGGCTCCAAGGGGTCGCCGCTCAACACGCACACCAACTTGTGCCTGAAGGTGGTTCGGAGCGCGGCCTGTAACGCTGCTCTGAACTCAGGCCGGGCCCACTCGTTGCATATCAGACCTGGGGACACAACGAAGACGATGCGCTTGGAAGCGTCGGCAGCGCCCACCATTGCGTCAGCGAGATACGACGCACCGCCCATCAGGTGGAGGTCCCTGTAGTGTAGGCAGAGCGTGTGTCCGAATTGTTCCAGTTCGGGGGCGATTACTCTGGCCGCGAGGTCTTCGTCTTTGTGACTGTACACCATGTAGCAGTCGTACAGCCTGTCGCGGTCGTCGCTGTCGTGGGCGGAGGCGGCGTCTTGAAAAATTCGCACTCCATACTTAGAGTGGGCCCAGAGACGGACTTCCTGGCGGAAAATGAACATTACTGCTACGATCAAGCACACCACGATGACGGCCACGAGGGTGGCGGCAAGCAGGGGCACGTAGCTACCGCCGAGCAGCTGGTTATTTTTTATCACTTCGCGTTGGACGACGGACGTCGCGATCGCGTTGTCCAGGTCCTCGCAGCGGTGCATCACGTCGGCGACGGTTTCAGAGTCCTTGTGATCCGCGCAATACAGCTTGGAAGGATCGTCTCCCGTCTCGCGGATCCAGGCCAGGAGACGACCGAGGGAATTGCAGTCGCACGACCACTTGTTGCCGTCGAGAGTCACGCGCGGCAGGGGGCCCGATTCCGCGTTCCCCGCCAGCTGCCACGGAGTAAAGTCCACGATTTTATTGTCGTCCAACTTTAACACTTCTAATTTATGCATGTTCTTAAAAGTCTTATTGCTCACATACTCGATTTCGTTATGATCTAAATACAGTTCGTTAATATTTTCCAGCTGATCGAACTCGAAACCGCGCAGTTCTTCTAATTTATTATTTTCCATGTGTAACACTTTGAGAGACTTGACACCATTGAATGTTCTGTTGTGCAACGCTTTGACATTGCTGTTGTTCAAAAACAATACCTCTAGTTTTTTCTTGCCGATGAATACGTGACTGCCGAGCTCGCCCAAGTTATTGCCGTCCAGGTAGATTTCAGTGGCATCCATCGGTATTTTCTCAGGCACGTTCGTGTAGCCCGCATTGCTGCAATCGACCACATTAGAAGACCACGTGTGATCGTGATAGCACGTGCATCTGTCGGGACATGTCATTTCGCAGTCGCAAGCATCGAAGTCGCAACAGTGGCACAGAGCGAAGCAGTGAGTTTCGTAGGGGCACAAGAAATTTGACGGCTTTAGACTTAAAAGGGGCTGAGGCGGAGCGCCCCTGGAATGCGCCAGCTCGCAGGTAACGGCGTCCAAATCCAACACTTGCGGGTACTGTCTCAAATTACTCAGGTGATTGATTCTGAGAAGCCATTCCATTTTGCAGTCACAATAAAACGGATTGCCTCCTATGTAAAATTGCGGTAGATCTTTATCGTTCGTCACCGGGCTCAGGCTCAAAGATGCGATATCCAAATACGTTATCTCGTTGCCATATAAAACTACTTTTTCCAGGTGCAATTTGTTGTGGAACGTGTTGGGATGCACCTTTACGATCCTATTGTTATTTAAAAATAAAGTGGCCACGCTGTTTGGTACAGAGTTTTCTTTAATTTCTGTTATTAGGTTATAACTTACATCCAACATTTTAATTTTTAAAGTGTTTCTTACATCATAGTAGTTTCCTAGTTCGGGCACTTGGTTGTCGTGCATGTCCAGCCATTCCAAGCTGGCGGGCAGATGGCTAAAGTCGAACCAGAGTAATTTGTTTGAAGAAACGTTTAACCAGACCAAACTTTGCAGATTGGTAAATACACCACTTATGTCAGTCAGTTCGTTAGCATCCAGTCGGATAGCCTTGAGGGTCGGGTTGCTTGAAAAAGCGCTCTGCTCCACGTACTTAATTTTATTAGAAGCCAAGTTCAATACCTGCAGTGAGGGGAGCGTGGAGAATGCGTCTCTAGAAATATTTACGATGTGATTGTCCACTAATCGTAGGCCGTAGAGAAGGTCTAGTCCCTCAAACGATGAATTCGTAACTGATTCGATATGGTTCTTACCCAAATCCAGGGTCTTTAAAAATCTCAGTTGGCCTATTCCCACCGGTACGCCGCCTAACATGTTCCCATTCAGTCCCAGGTCTTGTAAATTCGTCACGTTCTCGAACGTTTTGGGATGAATATATTCTATTTCATTAGAGTCAAGAAGGAGTTGATTTAAAGCGTACATTCCTGAAAAATGGTACGATTCAATGCGGGAAATTTTATTATGCGTCAGAGTCAGTGCGTGCAAATTTTTCAGTTCAGCAAAGGCACTCTCTGCGATGACGTTTATACTGTTGCGCTCGAGATTGAGAATCTGCAGGGTGTAGAGGTCGTGGAAAAGAGTGGAATCGATGCGGGTAAGTTGGTTGTTTGCCAAGTTCAGAATTACCAACCTCACCAGACCGGAGAAAGTATCCCTGTTGACCCACCGGCTAGTTAACTCGTTGTGGGACAAGTCCAGGGATTGAAGTTGATCCAGACCCTCTAAAAGCCCCGGGGCGAGCACACTGAGGGAGTTGTTATGCAAATAAATGTGGCGAAGCTGCCTTGAGGAGAGGAATAATTCGGGCGGCAGGGCTACCAGACAGTTGCTCGACATATTTATGGTGGTTAATGCTGAGAGTCCTACCAAAGAGCGATCGCCTAATATGGATATGGCGTTGTTTTCTAAATGAAGCTCTTCCAGCGATCTTAATGAGGAGAATCCGTTATCGGGGAGTGATATGATGTCGTTATGAGAAACATCCAGCACTTCGAGGCCGTTGACACATACGCGGCCTGGGGACAGTGGTCCACTACCCCAATCGGAGAAACCCAGCGCAGAGACATTCTGAAGTTTATTCCGAGTTAGATTCAGATGAGTTAAACTGTAGAGAGGACAGAACAAGTCCGGAGGCGTACTCCATATGTTGTTATCAGCCAGATCGAGACTGCGGAGTTCTCCCATACCGCGAAAACTTTCAGAATGCAACTCCAGAGTCATCGCGGACCATTCGGAGTTGTGCGAGCGTAGAGACAAACGCCGCAGTTGTCTGAGGGGTGACAGGGCGGCCGCCGGGATATTGCGAATCTTGCAGTTCTCCACTTTTAATTCCTTCAGCCGTTTCAGCGCCGACAGGAAACTGCTTTGTCTGCCGGATTCTAGGGAGCTCTCAAAAAATAACACGTCGCTGCATTCCAGCATCAGCACTGTCACACGGTCGGCCTGTGTCTGCGTCAGGTTGCCTATTAGAGGTTCGGCGCTGTTGATTGTCCTAATCTGACAGTACAATACGGGCTCCTCGCCACTTTCGTTGCCTTCTAACGGTTGCATCCGCCACTCGCAGCCTTTGGGTGCCGATTCGATGCTCGTTAAACTTCTGGAGTTCACCGCCACTAGAACTGCACTCAGCACTAACCACATCATTGCGAATGGTTCTTATATCACACTATTTTTTTTTCAAAGTCTTTGTTAAATCATCACAGACGGTATTATTTTACTAACACTATGTCCCTACAATTGACTAAGGCGTGTTCGGAGCGAGCTGAACCGCACATCTACTCCGACCGGGTTTTCCTTCGGAACTGATGTTCGGAACACTGTTGCGTTGTGACGGGTGGTTAAGGGTCATGGCTCCGCCTTCGACGACCCCACCATAGCCGCGATCAGGACTCCAGCTGGCTTACTTCACTCTGAGTGGAGAATATCACGTGTAGTTTACGAAATTTAACAATGTGCAAACGTCCCCACCATATAATTATTTTTAATAGTTACTTTTACGTACCTACTTCATGTGGGCAAACTATTAATCCTGCCTTAAACGCGTATGCAGCCGGCTACAAGTAAAAACAAATGCATGGAAGTATATCTATTAACTCATTTTTAAAGACAATATAACATTTTTTTATTTGTAAGATAAGAATAAATTTTGCCTGTTTTTCTTGAAATTAAACATCCTTCAATATTTAAAAAAAAATTCTGTAAACTACATTTATTAATATTTATGACACTTGTACAATTATACATCATTTATTTTTGTTAAATAAATTATCAGAAAATTTATGTATTCACTAAATACAAAAATATATTATTTTAAAAGACTTTGTCAATACTTGTTACTTATTAACAATTTTATTGATTTTCTAAGGCAGAGGAACATTTTTTAACACGTTCCATCTCTGCAATCAATAACGGTTTTACTTTGTACAGTAGAGGGATATAAAACATTGCACAAAAGTAAATATTTATTACTATCTCTTATTTGTTCGTATAGGTATATTTGTTTAAATGCCAAGTACATATGCCGTCTTTTTTTACGGTTGAGTTCATATGTGAATCATTAGAGATGTTTATGAGTTAAATAATTTAAGTATACTAATTAAAAAATAGATATGCCTTTCGATCAGTTGATTAGGTTATATCAAATAAAATAATGTGCTTATTAAAACTGTTTAATATTTGGACAGTTATCTACATGTTTCAGTGAGTTAAAAAATAAATTTGCCATATAGGTATAACTACTAGTATGCTACTAGTACAAAAGAATATAGTGAAGACAAAAAATAAACTTTATAATTTAAGTATTGTAAGAATGTACTTAATAGATATCTAAATTAATTTTTAGGGAATAAATCAGTAAATAAAAAATGTTACGTCAATGCTACTGAGATGTAGATTTTAAATTATTTATTTTAATATTGACTGACTTCTTAAAACGCCTTCAGTTTCATATTTTCATCTGAGATCGACAAACCTAGAACATGATCAAATCAAAATATAAATCGGAAGACATTAATTAACACATTTTTATCAATTTTAGTAACATTTGGTAGCTACTTCTATTATTTCTTATCTTTGCCATTATCTTGCATCCAAATCAATTGAAAACGTATTAAAAAACTGTAATTGGTAGCATAAAACGAGTAAATAATTAAATAGACATAAATTGTTTACCTATTTACAAAAAATTTTAAGAGTTTTCAAATAATCTAAGGCTTTCTTTCTGTGCGAATAAATGTTTTTTATTTATCTCTGTTCTTGACACAATAATTTTGCATATATCTATCTACTTGGAAACCGGAAGCAGATAGGAAAACCGCGAAGAACTATGTTATAAACATTCAGTTAATATCTATTAAACAGCTGCAATCAGCTTTTCCTTGAAAACATTATCACATGTAACATAACATCAGTAAACTCTAACATAAGCATTTTCGAAATAACGTTTGTAATTTGTGTAATATTAAAACATATTCTCTTAATTAAGCGAAGCATAGTGTCCCATTTAACAATATAATTTGTGTATATTTTCTAAAAGAAACAGCTTATAAGAAATATATAATTTTTGCTACTGTTTAACTACTTAATAATAAATTCAAAGAGAGGTGAAATGAAACAATTATTTAATTTTCTTTCGATACATAGAAATGAAAGTAGACAGGTATACCCGTAATTGTCTATTAAATAATGTATAAGTACTGTCATTAATATTTTATAAGTTCTTGAATTATTTTCCTTTTTTTTTAATATTAAAACAGCACATAACTGTTCAACCAAATCAGTTATATCGTCAACTGAAGTAGAACATCTTAATTTAATACATTTTTATTAAGAAGTGTGAGAGAGTGGCCTTTTAAATGTTCATAATAATAATCAAACACGATAATTAAATTTGCAATCCATGGCCTTCTTAATTATCCTTAGGAGCTGTTTTTGGCAAAATCGCTAGGGATTTTTTTTATTAAAAATCTGACTTAATCATCATTTAAAATCCCTTATCAATTTATAATGAACAATATTATTTTTATATAAACTTAAAATTGTAAATATCTGTTTTCAGTTTTCATCTTTAAAACGTAGGAAGCATAGAAGCCTAGAAAATTTTCACTGTGTAAAATTGGCAAATAATATGCCTAAAATTGTGAAAATATTAGATTTTGTTCAAAATTATGAAAATCGATGATATGTAGCCGTATTTTTTAATAAAAATAATTTTCTCAAAAACCGCTTCTAGAAAATGTCGCAACAGGCCATGAATTGTGCGTCTAAAAAATAGAGAAAATATTAATTAAGCATTTATCATTCCTAAATATTTATTATTTGTAAGACGTATTATTTAAGTGAGACATTTTATTTAGTTCAAGATTATAATATGCTTATATCATACTTATGAAAATGTATGATATATTGGTATATACTTACTACTATACATAATCTTGAACCAAATAAAAATAAAAAAATTGTCTTTTACTCAACTAAATAAATCTGGACACAAAAGGAAACTAATTCAAACCAAAGAATTTTATTCCTACATAGTTCTCTCTTTCTAGTCTTACGTTGCGTGTTCCTTCTATCCTTATAGATACTATCTGTCTTTTTTGTATTTGTACTCATAACATTAAATTCATAAATTGTTTTCAGTAAAGTGATTTAAGTGAATAATTTTACTTAGTTGAAAATTATAATAAAGCGCTGGGTTATATGCAAATAAATTATTTATTTGAACTTGAATTATTTCTCTTAAATAAATAAATTTTCAATGAAGAACGATTTTATTCATTATTCATTTTGCCAGTTTTATACTCAATATTTTAAAAAATAACAAACCTACATATTTATGTGATAAAATAAAATGGAGATCTGAAACACATAATAAAAATTTGAGATCACTGAGTAGCAAAGCGTGTATTCCTTCACATAAAACTGAAAAATTAAAAAATTCATTTTCGTATTTAGCTTCTTATGTTATTATTAATTTACCCCTCCAGTATCACAATTTGTCAGTGACAACCGTTAAACATATGTTAAAAAATAATATACTTTTTTCTGACTTGGTACTTTTTGATGTATGTAGGTTTTAACTATATCCAATAGTGTTTTGTATTCATTCTTGTCCTTTTTTTATTGCTTATTTATTGTATTTGTTTGTTTTTAATCTGTTCTCTTTGACACAGGAGGTGTTGTAAATCAACTTTGTTGATACACCTTCCTTTTGTAAAAATGTTGTTTATACTTCTTTTTTGCAATAAATGTATTATTATTATTATTATTATTAATTCAAAACTATGATATACCAGAAAAATGTATTCTTGATGCAAAATATTTCTTTCCGTGTACATACTATATGATTGCCATTTTAAATCTTATCCGACTTTGTTTCTTTCTTATTTAAAATGATATTTTTTTTGTTTAATTATTAAAAAATGGATTGAATTTCGTGAATATTGAAACATAAAGTATTTTTAAGTAAAGGACAGATAATATATAAGTAAATAAGCTATTATTAACAAGGCTTTTGCTATTATGTACATATTTACTTAATATTATATAGCTATAGTAAAAGAGAAGAATTAAAGTTATTGCACATCTTTTTCACAATATGTCAGAGATACTGAAATTGACAATAATTGGAATTTAAAGATGCTACACCTTATTGTAAAGTTGTGAAATTGTGTCTTAACTTAGACTATTCACAGAATATTTTATTTTGGAATAAACACTTGCATAATACCTACTTACACATATTACCAACTTCAATAATTTTATTATTTGTTCTATTAGACATATACTGAGTAGTAGGAATATTAATATTTTTCTGTGTTTATTTCCGCTTCTACTCTTTGCTTAACCATTTTTCCGAAATATTATTAAGAATTAATTCAGTTTAACGGACTGAAAATTAGTAAATATTGTTTTACTAACTTTAACATCAGTTTTTTTATTATGTACCTACTGAATTAATTTATACTATATTGTAAGAGTGATAAATGATCTCTTGATTTTAAATTTTGTGTTATATTTTCGGCTATTGAAATTTCACGGTATTACAAACCTTTCAAATTCACACAACTCGTAATTAGCGTGATACATTTGCACATCTTAGATACTCAAACATAAAAATTGAAATAATGTTTATATCGCACGTACTAAATACAATTAACTTGAACAAAATTGGAATTTGTGAGAAAGATCCTTTAATAGACTAATAGCTTTTTCAGGAGAGCTCTGCAAGTCCATAAATTGTTTTTTAATATATCAATTTTATGTTTTTGTGTCACTGACTTCCCTGAATTATGCAGTGTTTTACTGGTGCATTATATTAAAACAATTGTAAGAAATAAAGTTATTTAGAGATTGTTCGCGCCATCTATGTATTTGTAGCAAATTAGATTATTCTCCATATGCTTTCTATCCTTGTTTATATGTAATAAAGTTAGACAACCAGTCGAAGTTAGAAAGGGAAACACTAGATGGCGTGTTCCCATGAAATCCCGTCAAGTTCATTGAAAATCTGAATAAAGATTACGAGGATTTTATACGAGAGTCGCCATCTAGTATTTTCATTCCAAAGTTTGACCGGTTGTCTTACCATCTTATATAAACAAGATTTCTATATACCTACTTTTCATCCACTAGGGACTGCAATTCTCAGAATTCTACTATTCCTTTTTCATATAGACAGTTCTTCATCTTGAGGCAATACTAGACAATACAGACTGTATTTCAGTTTCTAGTGCTCTATAAAGTAACTGTAACTATTTTCAAATT